TGGTACAGATTATATTATTGTAGTAGAAATATTTGATATTTTACAAGACTTCGCCAGAGTTAAATTACCAATAGAGGTCGGTATATATACGGGTAACATTCTAAAACATATCAACGTGCGTGATCGTTTAATGGACAACAGTACTGTCAAAAGTACACTGTTTTAGTAAAGATTTCATTTAAATCTTTTTAACACGGTGATGTCCATCATTCCTTACCATCTTTCCCGATCCGTGCCTTTGATAATATCTTCTCGAAGGAGTCATCATAGAGAGAGCACTGTCATCAACAAATGTATATAGGATACATACCAAAGTAGTATGCAATGTCTGATGAACTTCCAGATACGTATATATCGATCTATATACTGCTGATCTACATAGATTTTTGTTATGTATCTAAGGTAAATCATTGTTTGATAAAAACCACTCTCAGTCTTTTTGTTAGGAATGGCTTTTTACAGTTTTATTTCTGTGCTTATTGTTTGTAGACAATTTGTCAAAATTAGTATAATCTAAAGCAATCTATTATTTTTCTGCATTACATTCTATGTAAGAAGAAGCTGAATGATTTAACAAGTCCTACTGATAAATATTTCATATGTGTTAAACCTTTTAGTTACGGAATAAGGAATTCTTTTAAGTTTCAAAAGATTGTTGATTGTTTGAATAAGAATGAAGATGTTTAAATTGAATACAAATTATATTTTAATACACCACTTACTTTTTATTAACTACAAAGGGATTTAGATTGGTTACCATTGTGTTCTGGTTATATTATATTAAGTTTATATGCTATTTTGGTGCAATTATTAGTGTTCCATGGCATTCAGCCGTGGGCAAATTTATCCATCTTGATTCGCAATTCTATCTTATGAATTGATGGACAATTCTCAAAGAATCCATTGTCCATTTGTTATTAGGACGGGAAATAATGTGCCTGTTATTTTTTGACAACCCCTAACACATGGGAGTTTTTTGTTTCCTAATATCCAGCTTTGCTTGTTATATTACAGCTTATTTCTCCGTTTGATACTATGAAGGATCTGAGTGAAGTCGAAAAGATCAATAAACTGATAAATGAAAATGAACAGAACCTAAAGGAAGTGAACTTGACTGGAAGTTCAGCTAAATTTACTCGTGAAGTGAATTCAGTGGTGTCAGTCATCCAAACTGTGGTATGAACATTTTCTACAATAGATCAAATAAATTATTACTCATATCTTCATCATTGTAATAACCAGTATCGATCGACAGCAGCAAACATTCACATTCTCATAACCATCATCATCATCATCATCATCTGTACCAATCAATCATCATCATCATCGTACATCATCATCATCATCATCTGCACCAATCACATATTTGATGCCTGAGTGGTTGGGTACTTTGTTACAGGATATACCAGAAGATGAGTATCTGTTTAAGAAAACTTTGGCTGGTGACGAACAAGAACTCTCATGGGCAGAAATTTGGAAAGATTTTGAAACCCCAAGAGATAAAACCACTTCCAATAGAGTGGCGGATGTAAGTAATCTTGCAATCAATCGGAAAATTACTACTTAGTAATACGTGCAATACACTGCTTATGTCATTTTGTGAACGGGTGGGTACATGTAGGAATAATGACAGAAACTTCCATAATTTTGGGCATTGTGTAATTATTTTAACTTATTGCAAAGCCATATAAATGTCTGTTTTTCCAGTCACTTTTTAGTTCAAGACATGATAATGTATATTTTCGCATATATTTGACACTATACATGTTTACTTTATAGGCCACGCTAATAGATGGAAAGGGGCTTAGAATTATGACTTAATATTGGCATCTCTCAAATGTTCTCTAAGAAAAGTTTATTAGTCCTAACAATCCTTGTATTAGGTCAAAAATGCTTTGATAGCACCGGTATGTTAACTTACGCCCAGTATTCAAAATAGCATAAAGTTTACATGAATTATTTCTGCTTTCTTATACAAGTCAAACATGCCTTTTGTCTGAAAACAACGCCATTGATTGAAACTGGATTTTATTACCATGGGAGTAAGAGAACAATGAGATCTATCTATTATCTAGACGATAAACATACAAAGACGTTTAACGCCAAAACATAGCATTCAATATATTTCCAGTCTGGAGAAAGCTATATGGATACTCTATTGATGCGAAAAGAAGACGTAAAGAGCTTAAATGGCCAAGGAGTCGCAGCCCTTGCTCAGTCTTTAACCAATCTTGTATACAAACCTTCTACAACAAAACTCGATACAGCAGTAAGTTCTTCATAACAGTTTTGTTCATGGAATATTCCGTATACATGAAACACTTTTTTCGAAATCCAGTCTCATTTGAATGTAAATAATAATGATAATTTAGACAGATACTTCTCCAGATAAAAAATAGGTTTAAAATTAGCCTTCAAACAACAAACCAATTTTCAACTAAATATGTTTAAACTTTTAGCACATTACTTCTAATTTTGGCATGAGAGGAATATCTTTAATTCTTCTATCTTCCACTCATATCTATTTTCAGAAATCTGGTTCCAAGATGGCATTAGAAACTGCTAGTCGTATCAATGATATAATACGAACTCGACCATTTCCTATAAAAGATGATATTGAAGGCGCAGTATCAAGTAAGTGAGGGTTGGACGATATCAGTCAAAAGCAATAGCGACATTTCACTTTCCTGAGAAATTTTCCATTCTGCTATCTTTTTACTGATTTTTGTAAACCAATTTCAGCTTCAAATTAGGCGAAGGCCGATACTTAGGAAGTGCTTTGATATCTGTTTATATGAGCCAATATGAGTGAATGACACAGCTCAAGTGGGATTTTTGTATATATTCCTTAAAAGCAATCGTTGGAATAAAGATTAATTATATGGTTATCAAGCCCTGATCAATTTTTACATTTACAATTTCTATAAAACAGTTACCATTGATATTCATTGATTCATCAGGTGTAACTGACTTCATTGACCATCTAATGATGGCGTCAGTACCAGATTTAAAGGGTCGAGTACCGGATGTTAATGAAGACAGTATAAGAGAGGAAGTGAAAACAAATAGTATAGTCGGACAACAGATTGGCGAAGATGAGGCAACGTTTGTTGCTTTACGACTGGCGAAATCGGAGACATACGAAATTGAACAAAAGAAATCTACGGTAGGAAATTCATTGTTGATATAACAGATGTGTTGTCGTACTTATGATAAATTGGCCGAATCATTAAACCTGTTGGTACACTTTGAACTCTTGCCTATTAGATTCTACTGGAGAGTGTTCATTAATATAGTATAATCCTGAAATTGACCCCTTGCTGCTTTTCAATGAGGTTGTTTTATTTTTATGAATTGTTATTTAGACTTCACGACATGGGCTATCAGTATCAGTATTATTGTTAAATTTCAGAGTCGTTCAATGATAGGAACATTAGAAACTAGTTTAGACCAGAGTCATGATGTTTTATCAGCTATGTTGGTTAAAGACCAAGATCCATTGAAGATCCAGAAGAAAAACATGCTGTTACAGAATCAAAAGTTAGATCCAAATCAACTAGGCACCAACGGGTTTGAGTCGGGGGATTTCCAGCTTCAGTTTCCGAATCTAAACAGCACAGTGGGCAATTCAACAAGTACGCTAAATATTCGGGTAGGTTAATTGAACGATTCCATACGATTCAATGACAATGTAACCATGAGTCTATCTAGCATGAGGCAATGGTCACTGATTGTATTGGATTTACCGATGCGCTGTAAGGTAATGGTACTGAGAGATGTGAAAAGTCAGTATATTATTGATACTGATATGCCTGTCGATGTTGACATTATGAACATTAAATTTCTGTACTAGTGATGTCTTTCTCATTTCAGACTACGTTATTCAAGAAAAATCCATACACCTGGGGACAAAATGATTCATCTTATGGTATCGATTCTCCAGTTCTTATGGTCAATCTTAAAGATAACAACAATTCAGTTTTAAAAACCAGCCTGGACCTTACCATAAACAAAAACACCAACGTCAAGTTTAAATCAGTAACTGGTGAAGCTGCTACCAAGGATGCTAATGGAAACCATTTCCATGCTGCCAAGTTAAAAAATGCCAGAGATGCAATATATGTGTATTTACAAACGAATAAAACGTTTGAATCCATCACGGGTATCTTCCGGCTAGAGAAAATTCCTAAATTCAGTGGAAATTATGACTATAAAACAGTAGCTGAACTTAGTAAATTAAATAATGTCGATGTCTATAAGTTGTTTGTCCCGTCTAATACTTTTTCAGCCAGTGGTACAGTGATATTCGGTTTGTTATTTGGTAAGTTTAGGTTAGTTCAACATCAAATCCCACATTCATTTCAACCAAATATATTGGACGTTTTTATTCTCTTATTTTTAATGTAACATTTTTGATAAAGGGTATATGAAAAAACTTGATTTTACAGTTGATATTTTGCTTAGAATCATACTATTTTCTTCTTTTTCGATAATACAGAAGACGAATCCACGGAAGTTTTAAACAGAGAGAAACGAGAAGCGTTAGATAATGGTAAGTGACATAATTTCAAATTCAAATCAAATTAATTTTCACGGACGAAACATATTTACTACTATTCATAAAACTACCTTCTCAATGGGCTACGCTGGTCAATTGTAGAACGAAAACCCCGTCTATCACTCATTTCAGCCACACCTAATTCGACTTATGAAAGCGGTTCTTCAAATGGAACAAAGACAGATGAATCTGGTAAATCAAATGGTGCTTCACAAGATAATGATTATGGATTATACACGACAACTGATGGATGTGTCACTTGGGACCCCGAAGAAGAGGCGTGGGATTCAACATCATGCAAGGCAAGTATTGCCATGATATTTTTATTTTGGAAGAGTGAAAACAATGATTTTTTCATGGATTCTCGCAGTCTTAAGTCATTGGTGATGTACAGTAATCATCATGATGAACATTTTATACACATTGTGTATCAAACCATCTTATGTTTTCATTGCAGATATCAAAGTATTCAACACCATATAAAACATTGTGTTCTTGTTATGATCCACCAGGGAATTCATTTGCAAGTTCATTTTATGTTCCACCCAATTTAATTGACTTTGGCACGGTATTTTCTAAGTTTGATGCTAGTAATGCATCAGTGTATGGTACTGTTATAGCCACTCTGGTAGTGTTCGGGTTGATGGCGATCTGGTCGAGAAGGAAGGACAATCAAGATAAAGTAAAAGTAAGTCTAGTGATATTTTTCCAAAACGCTAAACAAAGAATAATTATGCTTTACAACATACATGTTAATGATTATTGGAAGAAAGATTTCATCGCAACACCAAAATGATCTGCACAATGGGCAAAGTTTCTTGCTGATAGAAATGGAACTCTAGTTTTCGAAAATATCATGCAACCTTCAAGGCACTGTGGTGTTTGGTAGTTCCTTCAGGGAAGAAGACCTCTATGTTGATTCTCAGATATGGATGAATGTTGTATCTTCATCGTTGGTGTGCCATTTTGAATTTTGTTTTTCTTTTACTTTTACAGTGGAAGTATGGTTTTTTGAAAGATAACAAGATTGATGAGAATTACATGTATTTAATCAGTGTGGAAACTGGACTGAGGAAACATTCTGGTTGTAAATCTACTATCAGTTTTATATTGAGTGGTGAAGATGGTGATACAGGTGCTAGGATATTGGGAGATGGGGAAAGAGTAAGTATGACTGAAGTTGTTGTCGTCACAATTCATCACATCGGTTCTTATATCATTATTGTACGTTAAACCTTTTTACCTTAGTTTTAAAGATAAATGGTTTCGGGCAGGACAAGATACCTTTTTTAGCAAAGCATGGCTGATTGTTGACTAGCATATTTGGAGCTTTTATGAAATGTGTGCAATCTAGCAACTTGTTATGGTTGACAAGCCTTTGAAATCATATGCATTAGGTTTCATATTTGAATTCGAGTATCGTAGATAATTCATAGCTGCTCCAATTCTGATTTAGTGTTATGTAAATCTTTTTAATTTGTAGTACTTTGAATCCGGAAGTGTAATGAACTTTATCTGCACTACTAATATGAGTTTAGGGAAGTTATTGTATTTGAGGGTATGGAATGACAGTAGTGGGGAGAACCAATGGGCATCATGGTACTTAGTGAAAATAATTGTTGAAGACCTCAATACAAAAGAGAGGTAAAGATAAGTTTTTAAATTTAATCTTGTGACAAAATTGAACCTTTTATCTGAACCTAACGGAATTAAAAAAATATATGCGGTCCTTCAGTCTGGCTACAATTGCTTTTATACTTGATAGCAAGCATATTCTTGAGGATTTGGGTATTTTGAGAAAACTTGATAATGGTGTTTATGACATCTATATTAAAAAGTATCATTGTTTGTCGAAACGCGGTCGTAAACAGCCCATCAGCATTCAAGAAGACAAAATTCTTCAATGTTTAATTTTCACCTACTGTAGGGACCAAATCCAAAAAGGTTCTGTTACCTTGATTGGTGATCTTCTGAATATGATATCACTCAAACAAAGATAACATTCGTCACTCGTTATCTAAGTAATATTTTAATTTTGATTTGTGTATAATTTTTCTTTACAGTTGTGTATTCGTGGTGAATAACTGGTTGGCTGTTGATAAAGGTGATGGTATGCTAGAGAGGGTGGTACCAGTCGCCAGTTCAACAGAACTTATGTCATTCAATAAATTATTTTCTGAACATAGACAAGCTACACTTACTGACAGCCACTTATGGTTATCCGTAGTTGTGCGCCCAAATAGAAGTTCTTTTACTAGAGTACAAAGGTTATCCTGTTGTTTAGTTCTGTTATTCCTGACTATGATATCAAATGCTATATTCTTCAAATCTTCAGAAACGGTAAATGAAGAGGAAACTGTTAAGAGTGAAATTCAAATCGGAATATTTCGGTTTTCAATGTCTATTTTGTTTACATCGTTAATGAGCTTGCTTATAACTTTACCGCCGACATTGCTCGTAATTTACTTATTTCGACTGTCTCGGCCATACCGACAGAAGACCTCTTGCTCGTGGAACTGTTGTGGTAAATGCAAGTCACGAAAAGTAGAAGATAGTACTGACACAGATTCATTGAATTTGTCCCAATTACCACAACTAATCCCAGAGACTGAAGATGTTGACATAAAACCACATAAACATCCTATAGCGGACCCTATGACACCAGGCTATGATTCAGCACATAATCAACAGGAGAATGAGCAAATCCTTGAAGAGAGGTTCATAACTCCTAATACTCAATTGCCCCTGCCACATTGGTGTGTATATCTAGCTTATATATTGGTTGTGACCTCAGTGTTAGCATCAGGCTTCTGTCTAATCCTCTTCAGTATGCAGTGGGGAACTAGTGTATCAGAAGAATGGTTGACTGCTTTCCTTTTGGGATTTATTGAGAGTGTTTTTATGGTTGACCCTTTTAAGGTGAGTACAGTTCTAATTTGAATCGGCGAATTGAAGGTTTGCTCCCAATAAAACTAAAACGTTATTACATAATTTTGGTTATTACCCCATTACCATTGCGTTCTTGAAAATAGTTTATCCTGTTGGCTTTTAACACTTATATACATTCTGTTTCAGATTTTGATCATTGCTGTGTTGTATGCAATTTGTTCTAAGAATCCTTATACAAGTCCTGTGAAAGTTGACATCGCAACAGCAAAACAAGAAGCAACCAAGTTAGCAAAGCATTCTATCGGTAAAACAACCTACGAATTTCTCATTAAAGACTTAATTAACTAAATTATACTGTTCATTATTCAGCGGTATTCGTTATGTGTCCAAGTTACAGAACATTTAAATATATCATATAAATCAAACACTATTCAATCGGTTCTTACATCTTGAAAGAAACTGTTGGCTAAGTGAGCATTAAAATTATATTTTCAGAGGATCGAATACCAAAATCAACACCCAAACCTGTGACAAAGGAAGAAATCGAACAGCTACAAATCAAACGGCTAGAAACGTTACAAGCTGAAAACACATTGATACAGCTTGTGCTTTATCTGGTGTTTCTACTGTGTTTAGTTATTGTGTCAACTGGTAACAGAGACTACAGAACTTATATCTTTAAACACCATATTGATCGAACAGTCTTTATTGGTAGTTTTGAACAGGTATTAAATTAATCTCTTGTCGTATTTCTTAAAATTTTATTTTGTTGCAAATTCTAGCTTCTGTATACTTAGAAACATATTCACTTTAGAGATAATCATATGATTCAATGATCAATTAATTTTTTTAGATTAAAACTCGCGAAGATTTCTTGGATTGGACCAACTCAACGTTGATTCCAGTGATATTTCCTCACCATCTGTATAATGGTAAAACTCTCACCTGGCAGGAAAAACTCTTGTATTCCGACTTAGCTAATTTTAGAGTAGGACCTGTAAGAATTCGCCAAGTTCGCTCTAAAGCACGTGAGTATTAATATCCATCTCTCGTCCTTTAGGCTTTTTAGTTGTTGGTATGACAACAACAATAGTTAGTTCGACAGAATATTTTGATCATACTTTAAAACCAAGTCAAATGTAGCTATCTGTGCTTTTATGACACATATTATCATTGCGCAGGCATCTCCATTCAATAAGGAGCAGGGAATTCCAGATGTCGTTAAGCTATGTTTTTGCTTTTTGATAAGGTTGGATCTTTTGTCGTTTTAAGGCCCAGTACCTTTTTATGGATTGAAGTATTTACTATTAACTGATGAAGACCACAGCTACTACTGGCAATACAGCACATCAAAACAAGATGATAGTGATTACTGTCTGGGATGGAAACACAAACCATGTCCTGAGAACGAAGAGGTCTTATCAGTGTCATCAGCAGCTTGGAAATACCAGAACGGAGGTGACATTGATTCGTCGAATACTGGCCAATTAGACAGCTATGATAATACCGGCTATAGTGTTGATATATCGGTCAATTATGATATTTCTTTACAAAAGATCCAGGAATTGTATTCAAATAATTGGCTGGATCGACAAACTAGGGCCGTTTTTACCGACTTTACCCTATATAATATTAACACAAATTTAGTTTTGACTATCAAGTTGATAGCAGAGTTTCCAGAATTTGGAAGTGTATTCGTATGGCGTCATATCGATGCTATGAGACTATTCCAATATTTTGGTAACATGGGGATCTTTAACATAATATGTGAGGCTATTCTTGGAATAATCATGCTTGTTTTTACCTTTAAATGTGCAAAGAAGTTTAAAAAGTTGAAGTGTGAGTTTTTTAAGAATTTTTGGAATATCGTAGACACTATTACTATCATGCTTTCTGTTATTGTGGTCATTTTCTACGTTTTGCGAAAAGTTTACTCTGATGAAGCTTTGGCTAAATTTCGAGAGGATCCTAAGAAATTTGTGGATTTTTCGCACATTGTTACATGGGATAGTACATTTGTGTGCAGTTTGAGTTTCCTTGTATTTATTACCATTATTGGACTTCTGAAGTTATTGGGTTACAACAAACGCCTAGTAATGATAGGCAGTGTATTGAAACATTCAGCAAATGACTTATCCTCTATGGGAATAATCTTTGGAATCACGATCAGCGCATTTATTCTATCCGGTTATGCAATTCTTCACACAGAGCGCTCCGAGTACATGTCAATCTTCACCTCTGCACTCAATTCCGTCATATATTTACTCGGTAAAAATAAACTTGGACATATCATGATGGTTTATTCCGACTCTCCTCTGCACAATCTCTATTTTATGGGCCTGGTATTTTATGTTATATTTATATTAATCACCATGTTTCAAGCTATACTCAACTCCAGCATGGCAGTAATCAAGAGCGACCTTGATCAAATTCCAGCACCATATGGAATAACGAATGTGTTAAAGAACCTGTATCAAACATTTATAGGAGATTGGTTACCAACTAGTTACAACAATAAACAACAAGAGACCAGTGGATGTAAGTACAATATATTATAATGTAGATTATTGCACTCTCTGTAAAGTCATTCTTTCGCCAAGGATATCGAGCAAAGAATTTGACACACGAAGTATTGAGCCAGTGCGTACCTTTCAAGTTGTTGTAATTTGCTGATCCGATTGTGTATGCTGATACTTTCTTTTGCATATTGCAATCAGGTTATCATCAATCATTATGGCTTCAGAATGCACAAAACGTTACTGTTGCAATCATGATTGTAGTAAAATCTGGTCTTTAACACATTTTCTGACATCAACCCGAAATTATTAATCTCCATGATTCAATAAAGAAATACTGAATCTTGATATATTTTGTAGATTCCACAGAGTGTAGCTTGGAGAAAGATGGCGCTGCAGATGTTTTAAAATCTTTAAACGACGAACTGAAGGCCATAACAGGGGTGTGTATAAAACAAATTAGATTTTGTGTTTATATTTTATGATAAAGTAAAGAAGGGTTACTTCCACAGTATTTCTTGGTTCACCGTTGGAGGTTCAATGCAAGGCCGTTCGCTAAAGTGGCTGTATAAGAGGTTGTACAAGGATTGCCATTGCTTTGGATTGAGGTGCTAATTTTTGACATCCAAGACATTAAATTTATATTTGTAGTAATATCGCAATTCTTACAGAAAGAATGAATTTCACATATGATTCATTTTAACAATTTAAATCCGCTGCTGTTTAAACTGAGCATACGTAGAAGTTGGTTATTGTCAGAATATTTCTTTTATTTTTCAGGTAAAGGGAAATGAACTGAAAGATCGTTTTACCAGAATCAAAAAAGGAAATGAACTGAAAGATCGTTTTACCGGAATCAAGAAAGCATACAGTAAAAAATTGATCTTTGAGTGATATTGATGTAAGGATTAAGAACATGTCTAGGATTAATTGTTGACTGGTTGACTCATGTATACCTTTTTCCATGTACATTTTCCATTGTATATATTTTGAACAAATGGATGATAAACATTGGCTAAATTTGCTATTAAGTTGTTCACAATTTTTAAGAATTGACTTTTTGACCGACAGCTAACGTTAGGTTAGTAAGTTAGACCACATTAAGATTTAAGTGGTTGAGTAGTGGGAAATAAGAAAATTTTACTTATTATGATGTAAATATTAAGCATTGTTAAGCCACTTTATTAAAATATTCAAATCTATAAACTTTCTAGCTTAAAAAAACAATAACAAATAAATATCAACAAAAGATTCAAAAGGCAACAAAATATTTTCCCTTTATACATATATTAGTGAAAATTCTTACTCATACAAAATTGTCTTAATTTGATCGAATGTCATTTTTGTTATATAATTCTTGGAGTCTCATTACTATTCAATGAAATGTCAGTCCTATTCAGTGAAATGTCAGTCCTATTCAATGAAATGTCAGTCCTACTCAATGAAATGTCAGCCCTATTCAATAAAATGTCATTCCTTTTCAATGAAATGTCAGCCCTATTCAATAAAATGTCATTCCTTTTCAAAAAAATGTCAGCCCTATTCAATGAAATGTCAGCCCTATTCAATGAAATGTCAGCCCTATTCAATGAAATGTCAGTCCTATTCAATGAAATGTCATTCCTATTCAATGAAATGTCAGTCCTATTCAATGAAATGTCATTCCTTTTCAATGAAATGTCAGCCCTATTCAATGAAATGTCAGCCCTATTCAATGAAATGTCAGCCCTATTCAATGAAATGTCAGCCCTATTCAATGAAATGTCAGCCCTATTCAATGAAATGCCAGTCATATTCAATGAAATGTCAGTCCTATTCAATGAAATGTCAGTCCTACTCAATGAAATGTCAGCCCTATTCAATAAGATGTCATTCCTTTTCAATGAAATGTCAGTCCGACTCAATGAAGTGTCAGTCCTATTCAATGAAATGTCAGTCCTATTCAATGAAATGTCAGTCCTATTCAATGAAATGTCAGTCCTATTCAATGAAATATCAGCCCTATTCAATAAAATGTCATTCCTTTTCAATGAAATGTCAGTCCTATTCAATGAAATGTCAGTCCTATTCAATGAAATATCAGTCGTATTCAATGAAATGTCAGTCCTATTCAATGAAATGTCAGCCCTATTCAATGAAATATCAGTCCTATTGAATGAAATAATTTAATGAAATGTCAGTCCTATTCAAGGAAATTATTCAATGAAATTATTCAATGAAATGTCAGCCCTATTCAATGAAATGTCAGTCCTATTCAATAAAATATCAGCCCTATTCAATAAAGTGTCAGTCCTATTCAATGAAATGTCAGTCCTATTCAATGAAATGTCAGTCCTATTCAATGAAATATCAGTCCTATTGAATGAAATAATTTAATGAAATGTCAGTCCTATTCAATGAAATTATTCAATGAAATTATTCAATGAAATTATTCAATGAAATGTCAGCCCTATTCAATGAAATGTCAGTCCTATTCAATAAAATATCAGCCCTATTCAATAAAGTGTCAGTCCTATTCAATGAAATGTCAGTCCTATTCAATGAAATGTCAGTCCTATTCAATGAAATATCAGTCCTATTGAATGAAATAATTTAATGAAATGTCAGTCCTATTCAATGAAATTATTCAATGAAATTATTCAATGAAATTATTCAATGAAATGTCAGCCCTATTCAATGAAATGTCAGTCCTATTCAATAAAATATCAGCCCTATTCAATAAAGTGTCAGTCCTATTCAATGAAATGTCAGTCCTATTCAATGAAATGTCAGTCCTATTCAATGAAATGTCAGTCCTATTCAATAAAATGGCAGTCCTATTCAATAAAATGTCAGCCCTATTCAATAAAATGTCATTCCTTTTCAATAAAATGTCAGTCCTATTCAATGAAATGTCAGTCCTATTCAATGAAATGTAATTCCTATTCAATGAAATACGATTTCTATTTAATGAAAAGTAATCCCTGTTGATTGAAATGCCATTTCTATTAAATAAATGCTATTAGCTAAAATATAAAAGACATTTCTGCACTTAGATTGTCATCTCGTCAAACGAAATCATACGTCTAAGATGTACCATATGAGAATTGTGGGCACACTTATTTAATGGTACATTTAATGCCCATTATCGATTTCCTTTATGTATTCAAGGTTCATGTTTCCAATTCAGACAGTTCCAAAACAGTTTCTTGTAGTTTACTGACATATTTCTCTCCTATATTCTCCAATGTTTGACTCAAACTTTTCTCAACATGTTTCTCTAAACTCGGATCTTGACTGAAAGTTAATGAAAACAAGTAAGTTATGACAGGGTGGCGGCCATTTTTAATTTGGTCCATAAAAAAATGTCTGCCCCTTTTGATGGAATTACAGAAATCATAGACCAGAAATCTAAATGATGCATATTGAAGCTATATTTGCCTATTATAAACACACAATGGCTTAAAAAAAGGGGGAAAAGGATGAAATATATATACTGACCTGACTAATAGTTGAACCACATTACAAACCGTTCGACATTCCTCATTATATAACTACAATAAAAAGAAAAAAAAGATCCAATGCCCTCAGTGTCATTTGAACCTACGTCACGACACTGGAAAAGTGTCACAATATTCTGAACCATCACGGTGAAATAGTCAAGGTTTGCTGAAGTGCTGTTTTAAAAGCATAACTTGCTTTTAGTGCAAAAAAAATGAGACACTTGCAAAAGATTGCTGCCGTGGAATAAACTATATGTTGGTAGTCAAACAAAATCAAAAGAATTATTTTCAAGAAGCAAACTGGTAGTTCAAAGGTTGGAGAAGTATCCACAATTAACTGACATTCAAAGTATAATACCATGTCCCCACCTTTTCTAACTTTTCCTTCTCACCCAGTAAAAATGACATTTGGTGCGGTTTGACTAGTGAGCACACATATCCATCATCAGCTGGAAATACAAAATTTACACATTACATATGCTATATGCTATGCTATATATTTTAAACCATTAATTCAGTCCAAATTTTATCCTTAACAACGATCAGTTTAAAATGAAAGGAATTTTTTTCTGTTACAGATTTTGCTTATAAAGATGGATAACTCCATGCTGTCTTCACAGAGAAAAATTCTACCTTTCGACATTTGACTACTTCTTTTTCTATTAAAAACTGTCGAGTGTTCTGTATCTTGATTCGTGATCCACATTTAGCGCATAGCTGATAGCTTTTGTTTTATCTCATTGAAAGACTATTCATCTTTTCAATGTCGGCCCTTAACCGGTAGAAGCCTGGTTGAAAAACCCGAAATAGCTACCAAACCAACCCATCCGATTTGAAAGCTTAACGGGGTAATTAGACAGCAAGATCCATTTAGTGTTTGCGCTTACCTTGTTTTTGTCGTTTTGCAGGATTGGTTGACTGCTTGATGTTGATTTCCCCCCCAGGGTGGTCTATATCTTCAGATATTGGTCGTTTCAGTTTATTTGTTGATTCAGTCTCTTCAGCAAAAGCTATACCCATCTGCTGCAGTGGAGTGTCCGAATGTAAACCATATGGTGCAGATTCTGAGTGTTCGATAAGTCGCATACCTGTCTCTTGGTTTTGTTTTCTACCATATTTGGAAACAGTTTCCATTTCAGTGTTTGTCAAATCAGAATTAGGACCTGGTGCAGATATTGGTGGATCCTTTAAATAACCTTTTAGTGAGTTGATATTCTGTTCACAACATACATTTTGTATTGTGGACTCTTTTAAAGCGTCTTGTGGTTTCGATAAATAAAGTTTTTCACATTTTGTCGATGTATTAACTTGAGGATTTGAACTTACAAGATCAGTGCAGGGAGGTATATAGATATTTTCAGGATTTAATGCAATACTACAGTACTTCAGACACGGTGAAGTCTTTTCGAATGTGTTACTGCCTAAATTGTCTTTCATCGTGTTGTTATTTGTGACCAAAGTTAATAGTTTAGGGGGTTGAACACCAGAATCGTTTGATGAAACAAAATCCACTTTGTAAGATGGGGATCCACTTAACTCCAGTTGACTACAAGAAAAAGTATTATTGTTATGTCTTTGCAGCTCTTCCTTCATAGGCACAGTTGCATCTGTTTCAGTCACTGAAGATGTGTTTAAATCTATACAATGCATGACCTCATCTAATAGAATCGTAGACTCTTCAACATGAGTGTCAATGCTAGATTTGTCTTCACTGAAAGAAATGGAAGTAGCACTCAAATTGTCACTAAGAATGGAATGGTCTGAGTCAAGAGCTTCTGAATCAACAGGAAGAATTGCGTCGTCACATTGGATCTTGTGATTTGTTGATTTTGTTTTTTCTAGATTTAATCTGAGCACATTGGTTGATTCAATTTGAATATTAAATTCTTGGTGGGTCTTTGGACTTGGTCCCGAGTGTTGATGTATAGAATCAACGGATGCATTAAATGAACGCAATGTTACATCAGGTAGATGGGATTCCAAATCTTTTCTAGTGGACATGTGGTCACTTTCTTCATTATTGTTTGCTTCTATCCCTTCGGTTGTTGTTGTGACACGTCGTCGTGGAGATGAAACATTTTCTACTCTGCCCTCTTTAAAAGATTCTTTAGGACCATCTATCTTAATTGTCAAGATATTTGGTATTTGTTGGACATCAGATGTAATTTCATTGGTTTGGCTGTTTGTCAACTTTTTCTGGTGAAAGTCCACAAACCGTTTAGATATCAAAGATGTTACATCAGGTTGTACATCAGCTTGTTTTATCGTCTCGTGATGATCGTGTGTGACAGTATTATATCCATTGATATCTATTGATTTATCTGCGACCTCGTAATTTTGAAAAGATTTGCTCTTATATAGTCTTTGTTTCTGTGTATTTCTCGAAAGGCTCGAAGAAGTTGACGGAATTTTAGATTTAAATGAAGGCGTAATTTCGGATTTATTTCGCTTTCTTTTTGGCTTAATATTTTCAGAATTAGCATTAACATCATTAGTATTGCACAGCTCGTTCGAATCTAAAGGATTTTGAAACATCTTATAATCCTTCACAAGCGTAGACGTTTTATTTATATTAAATTTGATTTTTCTAGTTTGGTTTGGAACGTTTACGTTGTTATCGGGTAACAATGTCCTATCTGCAGAAGCAAGTAATTCTTTTGTACCTACAGACAAGTTATCTGACTCAACAATCTTTGCTTTCTTGGGATCAGTTTGTTCGGGAACCTTTTTGTTATTCTCTGACTCACTTGAAGTACAATCAGAGTTTATTTCCTGGTGGTTCATTTTTACAGACGATTTGTTCCCTGAAATGTCTCTACTTGATAAAAGTTGGTGCTTAGTCTTAGATGGAGCCATAGAAACAATACGTCTGGAATCTTCATGAGACTTTGCTACTACTAATTTTCTCACTTCTTGAAACTTTGGTTTTTGGTTGGTTACCGAGACATACCCAAACTTAATTGGACTAATTTCTACCTTCTTTGTTTTCTTCTCGAAAACTGTTGTTGGTTTATTATCAGTTATAGGTAGTGAAACATCATTAAGCTCTTCCGACCTGGAGATAATTGATATTTTTCGGACATGGTTACTGATCGTAGAGGATGGACTGCTGCTGTCTGTTCCAGACGTCACTAGGGTACTGGAAGTTTCAGAACTCGAGCTGTTAGACAACACCCGAACACGACGTTTAATAGCTTTTTTGACTTTTTCCTTATAGCTGTAACGAGATCGGATTCTTGAGGTATGTTCAGATCTTCTCGGAAGAGGAACTTGATTGTCGTCTGCGTTGTCTTTGTGGACTCCTGGAAAAGATATACCGAGTTTGAAACAAAAAAGGAAAAGGTTCAAAAATCGATAACGTTGAGTGACTACCAAAGCCAACTTTATTCTATACCAGGCTCAAATTTGTCAAAAAATTACAAACCTTCTAATTGGAGGCGACCTTTTCCTTTCAGTAACCTGAAAGCAGATTATTACAAAATTAATACTTTCTTGTTCACATATCTTGATTTTTTTTCAGCTTGTGATGTGTGGCATGACTCAACATTTCCAGAGCTTTGTGCAGCTTAAGTAATTCTAATGCCTCGAAGTTTGGCGGTTTTTATGCTTAGCTAAGATTTGTAAGCCTGGATACAAAGAAAGATATTTAATCAAACCCGTAGCTGGAGGAGGCAAGCCACCCCCCCCCCCCCACTACCCCCGAAAAAACTGCAACATTACGGCAACTAAACGTCATACACCATTACCCCTCCGGAAAATGGAGGTCTGGGAGGCAGGTACAGTGAAGATTTACAAAGAAAGTCAGTGAATACCTTACCTTGTATTCTTTAGTATTACTGCGAGAAACTGTTCTATCCTTGCTAGTATTTCTATACTTCTTCTGGTACTCTGTTTCTTGACTCTTATCACGTGCTGTATGGCATTAAATCATTAATTATTATTCAAATTATAAAAGTTCTACACAAACATTTCTATGCATAAACTAAGTATGACTTTTAAGAAAACTGTTAATGAAAAAACTGGAAAATTTTAATGTTATATAATATAAGGTTGTACTGTTCGTCAGTAAAAATGTAATATATTTATCCTTTGATATAGAAATGAGTGGTTGTAGTGCCATAATGAAAGTATACTGAAAACTTACATTAAAAGAAAACTAAAGTTCAAATACTTACTTTGTTTCAAACTTGGCCTGTAAAATGCTACTTTCATTGTGTAACGATTCATAAACCGTGTGTTATGGTACCTGTAGGGTAGGAAAACAAATCGAATGTTAAGGATTTGTTTTCGTGTATATAGCGTCAGATCAAGGCCGAAAATCCACAGAAATGAAATAAACTAATACGTTCTTGATTTGGCTAATTAATTTTACTGTGAGGGAACAGTGGCAAAAAATTCCTCTTTTTGATTTTCTGCTGTTCACGTTAGTGCTTCAGATCAGAGTAAGATATTTTCCCAATACATGCGGTTTTAAAAGAACAATTAACACGAAGATGATACCCTTACAATTCAACCACGAAGTTAACCTTTCAAACTTAAACCAAGTGACCAAGGTCATCTCGGAACCCACCCCACTAAACTGTAGACCCATTTGTAGAAATATTACATACTTATTGATAGCGTCTAAAGCGTCATCTAGTCTGTTGAATCGTACTGTAACGTGTAAATGTAGTAAACTAGGATCTTGATTGTCACATTCTTGTCGCATACTTTCTATTGTAAATTTACCACATACTTTCAAGTTCATGCTGAAAAAAACCGATTGAATATTTCTGTTATCCACTGCACTGTTTTACAATTTGCCGTTATTTTTTTATTGAAAACGATATAAAAGTAGCTCTCAGAACTTTCGGGAATTTGACCCTTCTTAGTCTTGGGGTTAATAAGAATCGAACAACTTTAAAAGACGGAAGGGACGGAGGATATGCGCACGCTTGATAATATTTATCTGTTCGTGTGGCATGACAAGAATTATCTAACAATTGAGGAGTTTTGAAAAAAAAAACTTACCTTAAAGTCTCGGAAACAGGTATATCTGAATAATGTACTTTATAAATTCTGATAAAAATTGTGGAATTCATCTTGACAATTTCAACAAAATAGAATTAAAATTATCAAATCAACTAAAAACACTCATAAATCAACCATTTATGTCGACCTGTATCTGTAACTTGAATTTTGATTAATCGTGAATTCTATTTATGGCCTTATTGGGAGTGAGTGACATCGGTCATTTAAACCAGTTGTCACGTCAATCGCAATGAGTTGAAGTAGATATCATCATGCTCAAATTACTAATTAACGAACTCTTCAATAGCGAGTTAACCCCTCAATATTATTATCTAATATATTCATCTACTTATAGGATACGAAATAGATATATTATTGTCAAGGGAGTTGTCGCAAGGCCATTTAAAAGAGAAAAAGAAAGATGGATTTTATTTTATTTTGATACCAAGTGTAATATCAACAAGAATACCTCTCTGTTTCAGCGATAAGTTGTTGTAGATCTGGTGTTTCGATACGGTATTCAGTACTCACGCTAAGCATACTGATGAATACAATCAAAAACAATGCAGTTGTGAATACCTTCATTTTGATTACAGATTTTTTTATCTTGTAAAATGTATTTTGGTTTTAGATTGTTGAATAAAAATCTGTTACAATTTTCGTAAATTGCCAATTAAAATAAAACTGATTAATAAGATAGATAATTGATGTATGTTTTTGAAATATCAATATATTCTCTTAATCTATATGAACAATCAGTCATTTTAGTTCAAACAATTGAAACATACCGTAGACTACAAATACGCGAAGATATTACAAGCAAACTATCATCATTCTCTAAAAAGAACAATATTTACGTTTACGTCAATCATATATAGGGATAGTACATTAGACAACTTAAAGCGAGCCTAAGTTTTCAAGCCTTTTTATGTGTATCGGGGACACCTTTGACTTCTATTGGGACACTTCAATTCTTCGTCACCGGAAATGACGCAGCTCTCGCAAGAGAATTCATAACCAACCTACCACCAAACCACAAGAACATAATAATATAATATGTTATCTCCTCTTATAAGATGGTGGAATTTATAACTGAAAATTGTCGACTCTTTCACATTTTGCTTCACCGTTGCCTTATAGAACTCTTTACTACATCTTATATTGCTTAGTTTTAACGGAACGGAAGAGTTGCATGATATGAAGTGCAAATCAGAGCGCTAAATATCCTTATTTATGATAAAATGGCCGGTTTCGAATGTACAGTGAGGCGATTATTTGGTAAATAATGTCCATTAGTAAAGGTCTTTCCTTGAGATTACGTCATATACGTGTTTCTAGAATTATATGCGTTTGAATGTTAAAATGACGACTGTGTCATAAATCACGTAATTTTAGTAGAATTGCTAGAACCACAGACGTCAGATTGAAAATTGGAATGGCGCAAATTGATGCTATCACTGTCCCCAATACACATAAACAATTTATAAAACCTCTTTACCATCCTTTAAAGGCAAGTCTGTTTTACACTTTTCATTTTTGATGGCTATTTTATTTCCTGGAAGGTTTAGACATTTTGTAATGAATGTGAAATAAAATGGACGACGAAATAATGTCAAATTTGGTTTTTATCCAATATTTATATCAATCAAATAAGATTTATAAGCTTTGTCCATGAATGAAAAATTAATAAAATAATGTGATTTGAAGGTTTTGTGACTCGTTAGTCTAGATAGTGATTCAAAACGGCTGTGAACTACGTTCGTGTGTGTTATTTCCGAGAACTATACGTTATGCTTCTCAACCATTCGATCAGCTCCAATTCATCACTTTGGAATTTTTCCGGCATTCATCCCTAGCAATATTAAACTTCAAATTATTATAAAACTTAAATCTAGTGAGTTATTGTTACACACTTATATTTAAAGATCACAGGCCACGGATATATACAAAAAGTACAATGCCAAGATCCTTCAGTGAGAACTTGTGCTTGATAATCTCGAACAAGGATCTTAACACCTGGAAGTAGCTTGACTAATGTTAGGCTTAGATCGCCACATCAAAGATACATGCTACGCACTCAAATTGGGATAGTATTCAATGATATCTTTGTCAAGCCACGTGAGCAATTTTCTTCAGGACGAAAACATCAGCTCAGGAGTGATTCTGAGGATCAGCGATTTTATTTTGGAACTTTCAGTCTATTCAGCCTATTCACAAAATTCCTTATTTTGCGTTCATTTCACCCACTTTACAGATTTCATCCCGACAATTTTAATTTCACCCCGGGGTGCATATTGACTCAGGTTGAGAAGCACTGATTCATTCAAATTTATTTGTACAATACGTGCAGTTTTCTAGAGGCGCCAAAACAGTTTATACCACACCAGCAAATTTAGAGCCACCATGCGACTGATTCAAGCCATGTCTGCATAATCCAGACTAAAGAATCTAGATTATTGCATAGAAGATATTTTCTAGTCAAAGGTGTTGCTGAGATTGAGGTTATAACACTCTTTAAAGAATAAACCTTCAACAATATTTAAAAGACGACTGTCCAGGAAGCAAACGCATGGTAACAAAAATATCATTTACCAAAATTACCAAAATGTTAAAAAGGTTTATTGGCTAAATATTTAACATACCCTCTGTCTCTTCATCATTTTCATTACATGATAACAATTTTTAAAATCTCGGTCAGACAAAAATTAGCATTATTTGTCAATTATATTTGAATTATCATTTAAGTATTAAGTTTTAATTAACTAACCGATTGTCTGGAGATAAAACACAGAAATCCGAAAAAATGAGTCCGAAATCGAATACTTTGGGTTGAATATATTTTCTTTTAGATTTATTTTACTATATTGCTTCTTATCTGGACGATACATTTTAATTTAATCACCCATTTCAGTTGGTTATATCAATAATCGTTTAACTAGAAATTGAATCTAAGAAGACTTTCAATTTGAAAATGGAATAGAAGTTTTTCTACCTTATGACGTCATAGCAAAAATGTGAGTCAAACATAGAGGTGTATAATAAAGTCAAAGAATCATAAATGGCAATTTTTTTTAGAAAAATGATTTAAGAAGTTGATAAACAGCCTATTTTCCAGCCATCCTTTGTCCTGATATACGACCATAACCGCCATAGGGTAACAGTTTATTGCTTATATTTACGTTTTCAAGACATTTAAATTTTGATAAAAAAAAAAGTCTTTAGTATGGATTTAAGTAGAGCCTATTTCTTTACGTTTTAACGTTTGGGACTACCGATATGATTGTTCACAATGAATAACGACGTCACTGGTTAAAATTACTACGCCTAGTGTTTTGGTGATGAGGCAATGCCGTTTATGGTGATAAAAAATGCCACTAGTATTTGTCCAGTGGAAAAAATAATAGCTAATGTAGGCCTAAAGTTCACAAGCACAACATCTACAAATTGATGCCATCTACCGCTAAATGAAATGTCTAAAGACATTCTCGATTCCATTGCGATTATTAGTAACAATACCACCCACCGCACGATATCTGACTCTTCTTACTCGCTAATACCACGCTTATGGCGACTGTAAAACCTAAGTAAGGACCCCTTTCCTATGTGACGGGGCTATTAAAGATCGTAACTTTCGGCTATCTTATGCAATATACTTATAGATGATTGACGAACATGTAAATGTTGTCCTTAATAATTATTTGACGATGACGTTAACTTGTTGACTATGGCACACGTCTGTTTAAATTTGAACGGAATATTTCATCAGTTTGGACTAAAAAGACCATACAGATGTGTAATTGAAGAAGTTAAGACAGAGTCTTGTAAAGATTGAAACACGATCCTTCTTAAACTTCGAATACTCTACAAAATAACATTCCCACTTTTCATATCTACTGATTGTTCATATAGATTAAGAGAATATATTGATATTTTAAAAACATACATCAATTATCTACCTTATTAATCAGTTTTATTTGAATTGGCAATTTACGAAGAGTTATAAAAGCCAGGAGATTTTAACAGACTTTCATTCAACAATCTATAACTAAAGTAGGCTTATTTTTTACAAGGTAAAAAAAAATCTGTAATCAAAATGAAGGTATTCACAGCTGCATTGTTTTTGATTGTATTCATCAGTATGCTTAGCATGAGTACTGAATACCGTATCGAAACACCAGATCAACTCAACATTGAACTAGTTAAGAGAGGTGGTACTACACCTGGTAGTATTGAGGATGATGAAGAATCGAACAGTGACTCCAGTGAATATGATAATACTTTGTAAGTAGTATCTTTTAATGATGTTGGTTTTATAACACAGACTGTGTTTTATTATATTTAAATAAGTTTTTCGGGCAAAAATCTCATAACTATATTAGATATCCGGGCAACCTCAGATATTTCGGCCCCTCGGACGTAAACCTAACTCAGTCACTGAGAGAAAGGTTCTTTAGATAACTTTTTATTTTAGTAACAGTTGACGGAATTGAACTACTATGTCTTCAATATAACATATGAACATAATAACAATATGATTTTCCATTTCCTTTCCGATGCATATTTGCGTCCTTTATTAATCCCTTTCGTGTGATTTTCAACTATTTCCTTTTTTAATATAACATCCCCACCAACAGGAGACTCCATTTTGATGTGTTTTTTTACGTGCACCCCACTTGATATACTTATCTGGATAACTTCCTGTTTGGTTTTGCACTGCACATGTATCGTATCTAGACGAAATCCACCTCTGGAGGTAGATTTTCCAATCTAGATTACTTTTGGTTATAACCGAATAAGTCTATTTGCCACTGAGAAAACATCTGGAAGTTATTTGGATAGAACTGGATAGAACCGAATTACTTCTGCAGCTCGAAAAAAAATGCAGAAAAATAATAGAAAAAATTTGAATACTTTTTCACTTTACTCAGACAATAGATAATATTCAATTATGATCAGATTATGTTTTATTTCTATTTTATTATTATTATTATTTTTTATTGATTTACAGGCTTACAGAAATAGAACAATATTAAAACAACTTGTACGGAAAGTAATTTAATAAAGTATATCAAAAACGTTGTTGTGGCTATTTCTTCTTCGTATATAATTTATTTTTGTGTTCATTCGGGCACGAAATAAGGGCAGACCATTGAATAAGTAGAATTTAGAAGTAAACTAAACCAGTTGTGCTTTCTATGAATTAATACTATATATTCCAAAACTTAACTTTCCAGAAAGCTAAGCTAAAACAGGTATCAAGTAGTAAGCACCATGTTATATAATACAATTACTTCCGTAAGGGTTTTCAACAAGTTGAAAAAAACTCTACGACGACAGGTGAATACAATACGACTGACGATGTAGATTATTTGCGAAGACTTTGGGGCCTAGATACAGTAGACAATTTGTTTGCAAAGGTAACCCGTTTCTAGTTTCACAGTGTGTTACAAACTCTGTCTTACTCCTTGACATCTTGAAATTGATTCTCGATGTTCAAAGACCCAGTCTTGTTGATAAAATAGCTTAGATGAAAAGCATCCTCCCCTAAACTGTTGCGCATAATGTAATACGCAAACCCACCTCTATGACATCATGGCCGATCTGTCCTATTTGACCACCCCATTTTGAAGAAATAAACCAACACTCTATATAATCATTTTATAAAAGCAATGTTAATTGTTTTCAATAAAGTATAAAATTCTATGAAAAATAATTTAAGATGAATAATTAACAAAAATTGTAAACCAACGTAAAAAATAAATGTTAAAACATAGTAAAAGAGGTTTCCTATTCTTATTATATGTATATGTATCGGGAACACTTATATCTTATGTGACGTCACTAACGCCAATGTCATTTGTTTTAATCGTTTTGGCGTCGTAGTGCACATGAGCTGATCAAGATTTCTGCACCATGCAGAAATAACAGACAAAGAATGATCCAAATATAAATATCAGTTAAAACACCAAACATATTTGAATAATTTTAAGAATACTGATTGGTCGACATTGCTTTTAGCTATAATATCAACCAATCAGATGTATTTTATCAAATAAGAAAATAAGTCTTGCTCGATATTTTCTAAAAACCCTATAGACTTATTTCTGCTTGGTTGTAATAATAATAATAATAATAACTTTATTCACATTCTCTCAAGGAGACATAAGAAAATATAATCATAATGAAATGAAACATAAAAATATGTTTTGCTCGATATGTTCTAAAAACCCTTTAGACTTATTTCTTTAGGGTTGTAAAAAGGTTTTTTGAGAAATTAAAAATACAATTGAATGATTGTAAGAATAATGATTGGTCGGCATTGCTTTTTAGCAATAATATCAATATCAAAATGGAAGAATGAGTCTTGATCGAAATGTACTAGATGTGGGATGGCACCTAACGATCAAGAGTTATAAAAGCATTAAGGTAAATAGTACCAATACTTAGATGTCAACCTAAAATGATGGCAAGTGGTTTTTTGAACTATACCAATTGTTTTATACAATATTCTTACACATTACGTTAAAAAGTTAAAAACATGTACACTGCAGTTTTTGTCAGTGACAATATGAAGTTTCATCCAAATTTAGTGAAAACAAGAGCAATGATTACGACAAACCGGGAGAACGACAATATGCGCCTAACTTTTTTTTTTAAAACTTTCACTTTCAATATAATATCCATTTTTCAGATTAGAGATCAAAATAATTAGTTTGATAGCATTTTTGAAAGGTGCTGCACGAAAAAACAATGTTAATGTCCACGCTAAAACGAGGAGAAATTCCTCAAGAGGTGTTCAGACGGCACCAGAAGCTACGAAAATATACATTTACATTTCATAAAAACGTGTTAAGAATTCAACAATAGGCTATCTAACAACATAAAATATAAAGTACGAACATTAAAAAATGGTGTAAGTAAAAAGTGGAGCAATGGAAACTTCTAAAACAATATTATTTTCACGAGTAAAGAAACGCGCTATTCAATTATATTGAGCGATTGCATAATGTGTATTAATACTTTAATTTAGTACTTTACTGGTTTTTTTGTAACAAAAACGACATTTTTATCAATACAATACAACTTTACATACTCATATTTATTTACTATCAAACTGCAATAAAATGTTGAAGACACAACAATAACTAACCAAGTTTTATTAATAACACTAACTCAACACTAACTCGGCTTTAATATAAATATACTTCTAAAAAATGTACGATATTAACCGTTAAATGGAAATAATGATCACATTGTGGACATTTACCTGAGTCCTAATATCTGGTTACTTTCTCCCTTCAAAGAGGTTAGTATTTTATTTTAGCAACAATGTCATAATGTCATTATCAGTCAGAATGAGGACCGTCAGAAGTCAGTATCCAACTACATATTAGGGGTTTGAAACTGTCGAGAGTTATCGTAACTTGGTAATCCATCGTTGGAAGAAGGTATATTTTGAGAAGGTCGATCAATCGAACCACGATCTCCAGTGTCCACAGACCTATCAAAATGTTGTGAGGTTTCATATGTTGGATCTTAGAAGAAGGTGGAAGAATGATCTTCAGCCTCCGTCGAACTAGGGATTTCAAACTGCCGTGCAGTTTCGTAACTTGGTAATCCATCGTTGGAAGGAGGTAATTCAGGCGAGGTATGTTGAATCGATACATTATCTCTAGTGTCCACCGACCTATTAGGGATTTCAAACTGTTTTGCCATTTGGTTGCTTGGTAATCCATCGTTAATAGTAAGTATCCGTGGAGGAGTAGGACAATCAGACGAATGGTGTACAGTTCTCGACCTTACTACTTCTGAATAAGATGGTGGTGGTTGTGATAATATATCTGAAATACATACAATTAATATAATATCAATGTTAGGAGGGAAATGAAAGTATTATCATGAGTCAGTAACGTAATTCACGATATTGGGAAAATGGGGAAGAAGCGCTCTATTTTGTCACATATCAACATTTAAACAACCTGTGATAACCAGTTATTCCTCACAAAAACTCCTTTATTTCATATAACTTTGCACAAAAACCGTTATTCATTCGAAACGCCAATTTTGCTTTAAAAGGCAGATTCAACATCTTTTGGAGTCTTGAATAAAATGTAAATAGTCTTCACAAGTACTAGAAATGAATGAAAACCGCAAAAGTCCTTCAAACTTCAAAGTTTATGATCGGTCAAAGGCAAATCCGCCCCTTTAATAAATTACAAACAGACCAATTACGGTATGGAAAACATAATTGGAGAGACAGTATTTAGAGGTTTTACTGAAAAAAGCTTATAGTTGTCAGAATGTTTAGTGTTGTACTTACCATTATTTATTGAATTGTTTTGTTGATAATTGGTGTTTTTCCGTTTACAGGCAAAACATAATGTAACAAAACATATCACTAAAATAATTCCTACTGCAATCAAACTTCCTGTCAGTGCAACTGAAGAACCCGAACCTGTATAATAAAACCACTGTATTAGTGTAAAAAATTAATTTCGCTCAACTTATTGTTAATCAAAATCAGTTTTAAAATACCATGCAAGCAATAAACATACATATATATACTTACCTTATGTATTATCTAGTTTCTAGAACACAATAACTTACATTATGTATTATCTAGATTCTGGACCTCAATAACTTTCATTATGTATTATCTAGGTTCTAGACCTCAATAACTTACATTATGTATTATCTAGATTCTATACCTCAAAAACTTACATTATGTATTATCTAGATTCTGGACCTCAATAACCTACATTATGTATTATCTAGATTCTGACCTCAAGAACTTACATTATGTATTATCTAGATTCTATACCTCAATAACCGACATTATGTATTATCTAGTTTCTAGACCTCAAGAACTTACATTATGTATTATCTAGATTCTAGACCTCAATAACTTACATTATGTATTATCTAGATTCTAGACCTCAATAACTTACATTATGTATTATCTAGATTCTAGACCTCAATAACTTACATTATGTATTATCTACATTCTGGGCCTTAATAACTTACATTATGTATTATCTACATTCTAGACCTCAATAACTTACATTATGTATTATCTAGATTCTAGACCTCAATAACTTACATTATGTATTATCTACATTCTGGACCTTAATAACCGACATTATGTATTATCTAGTATCTAGAACTAAATAACTTACATTATGCATTATCTTGATTCTGGATCTCAATAACTTACATTATGTATTATCTTGATTCTGGATCTGGACCTCAAACTTTATGTATTTTTTAGACCCTTAAAACTTGTCAAAATTTGCTTGATTTCAAAATTATCTTAAACTTCGAGAACTGCTTTTTGTGCCAACTATTTTCTCATCGATTTTTCAACTATACTGGTAACATATTAAACTCTTAAAATCATCTCAACAGATATTTAATGATAAAAATTTAGAAAATCACATACCTTTACTTGAATATGAAGGGAGCGGTTTCCTGGTATATTTAATCAAAGCACCACCAGATTCTGATAGTGGTGAATCAGACGAAAACTCTATTCTGTGAACACTAGTAAAATCACGTACACCATATCCGTTTATATATACATAATATCCGTTATCTGAAAGGCCTAATACGTAAAGCTTATATAAATACATGTATATGATCTTCATACTAACCGGGTGATGATTGTTCATGATACGGTATCCACTATCACATACTATGAAGATTAAAATTCATGTTCAATCGATAAACTTTGGTACACTACATATTTTTGTGTGCATTTCTTCAAAAACAAAAACAGTGAATTTCGCATTACGTAACTACCAAACCAGAGTAATTGTTGTCAGGTGCAATCTTATCCGAAAATATTTGGACGTTTCGTGTATTTTCCTGTGGATTATCCCACTTGCCCCTTATTACAAAGAGTCATACTTTGAGGTGTTCTAAAAGCTTCCGAGCTTACACAGATCAACGATCAGTAAGAATCAGCAAGAATCTTTTAACAGATAGTGCCATTGTAAACTTTATTTCAATTAGCTCAATTGCAGTGTTCAATAAATGCTTCGCTGACTTGAGCCGCAAATGTGTGTTCCATCTTAACAATAATGGGCGCCCAAGCCTCCTATACTTGAATTTTAAACTATTTTAGTTGAAATAGAGTTTAATTATAACTCACCCCAAACTTTGATATAATCTTTAAATGTGCTTGTACCTAAATCAGAATAAGTAATTTCTACAGACACGACATAACCAGGGTCGGTGCGTATCTTCCAATCACAGTGTCTAAAAATATAAAAAATCATAAAATTTTCATGAGAAGAACTCTCAAAGACGCCTCAGGGGAAGTCAACGTCCATGCACCTCTACAGATCTGCCGCATTTTGAATAGCAACCACCAAAGGGTCCCCCCCCCCCCCCCCCCCATTAAGAACCAAACGGATACGAAACCGGATATGTCAGTGCCACTCCCTTTTACCCCATTTAAATTCTGTCTAAACCTACTTTTTTCGGCACACATGAACCCTGTTCATTTCTTTTATCGCACTTCAAGTTGATTCCACATTATGCCCAGGCATATTTGGTGTTGCAACTTCTTGATAATGATCTGTAGCAATAAGATTCCCACTGGATCCACATTCACCTATCAAAAAGTATAAATGTCAAAAAAGGATGCCAACTTCACTTTTCTAATTGGTATATTTAAAAACCGACATCTAAATTTCAATAATTGTATCGGCCGAAAATTGTGAAAGATTACAAATTTCATTACATTCTGTCACAGGGCGTTTTCCATTTGATAAAACTTACCGATGTCTTCTAACATATAGTCCACTTTTAAGCTAGACGTTTTAGTCCTGTATATGTCCATAGTAATAATATCGTTAACACCATAAAGGGTAGTAGATTTATCCAACGTGTTATATTTATTATAGTATCTACCTCCCACTATCACTGTAAAAACAATCAATTAAATTTAACACTGTAATTAACAATCAACTAAATAGTTTGCTAATCAAATAGTAAGTCTAATTAAAATCAGACCTAACTTCCGTTGGTATATTATTAGTTTCGTTTCAAATGTTTCATTAGCTTTGTACGTAACCACTACAGTAAGGTCTAACACTGTCCTGCTCGGTCTATTCAAATTAGACTGTCATAACCACATACTTACCATTGGCAAATTGTATAAAACCATATTCAGAGACATTCTTCTCACATTGGATGTTTAAAACAATTCTATATTGAGAGTATATTTTTTCCTTGGTAAAACGGTAAAACATAGTATTCCCAACTTCTAATGACCTAAAAACAACAGAAAAGGTAACATACGCCCACTGGAAGCTGTCAGAAATGATAAAACAGTCTTTAGTGACTAAAGTAAGAATTTTCTCATATGGAAGAAATTTTATAAGCTTGAATTCAATTACATATATGCCAGTTATTTATGCTGAGTAATTCCACAAAATTTTTTAAAATCAATATCAATAACCCAAATACAACAAACAATTAAATCACACAGCTCAAGGGCAAACGACAACCTTGACGCGTGTTTACAAAGTCAAAGGCCATAACTCCAAAAGCGTCGATCGAAAATGCTTCAAGTTAGAACTTGTCAGAGATCTTATCAATTCCAATGATCACACCAAGTTTGATCAAAATTGATTGAAAACTGTAGCTTCAATCCTGCTCACAAACTATTTTATATCAAATTTCGAGGCGTTTTAACAAAGTCAAGGGCAATATCTCAAAAAACCGTTCATCAAAAATATGTCAAATTCGAACTTGACCGAGATCTTATCAATCTAAAGCATCACACCAAGTTTTATCAAAATCAGATAAAAACTGTAGTCTCTATAGTGCTCACAAGAAATGTTGACGGACGGACCGACGGACAGGGGCGACGACAATATACGATCAGATATTCATGTGGGCGTATAAAAATGGCATTATTATTTTTTAAATCAAGGAAGGATTATGAGATTCATAAAGTGATTATTTTTCTGGAAAAACAAAGTAGGCTATACTGACCTGTAAAAGGTTTTTGTTTGTTGCTTTTTCAAAACATAGAATGCAGGACCTGGTAAATGCAAAAGAAAGGACTAAGAATAGATCGGAATTGCCCTGTAACTTATATTACAGATATAGTTAAGCTGCAAGCATTAGATTCTTGTCAAATAGAGGTACAAGTAAAATAAATAACACAATGTTACCAATCGCTGAACTAAATAAGAGCAACATGCGGGGTAGTTAAGTTTAATAAGCGTGAATGCAACGTAACAGTTGTATCAGAAATTATTATGGTTGTTATTAAGTAACAGAACAGCTGCTTGACGTGATGGTGAGTTTGGTCACCGTTATGTGACTAACGTACAAGCAGAAGGGACAGATTTAGTAAAACAATTCCACCTTAAGCTGATCAGAGAAATGTTCGTGCAGGCACACGAACGGTTTTGATCGAGGAAACAAAAATCTCCAGTCTGCCGTTTATCCACTATGTCGATCATTGGACCATGCATTTGAAAGGAAAATGAATCTGATAGGATAATGACGCTATGTCTTGCAGACGATAAAATAATGGGCGACATAACATAACATGAAATGGTTCTGATAGAAAGGATTACCAAGACAATTGGATATTAAAATTCAACTTACTTGTTACTTCGTATTTTATTTCAACATCATCAATACTATTTATAAAATATGATAAAACATGTAATAGCAGTACACTGCTTGTATATCGTTTACTAATAATACTCTTAGAATTTCCACAATAGTGCAACATTTCTTTATTAAATGAATATTCTCTACCTATAATATAAATATTGAAACATGCTATTGTCATTTTCACGTGTTAGAGGTCGATTAGATTCAAGAAATGTGGAATTTCTAGTGTATCATATACCAAACATTTCTATGCGTGATATCAATCTGTTACACTGGAATTGCACGCCTCGGAGGTCAAAATTGCAAAAAACTCAAGCATTTTATTGTTTAAACCATGCTCTCTGTTGGACAAAACTACTTAAAGACGGGTTCCCTTATTTTCATTTATAAAAATGAAAATGCTTACACCTATATGAATAGAAAGTAGAGGCGTTCTAATGGCTTGGAATGAAATCAATCTTTAAACCTGACTAACCTCTGTAAAGTTCCAATGAAGAAATACACTCGAAAGAATCTATTTCAATATGTTGTAGTGTAAATTGTATCTCGTAATTTGTAGGGGCTATGAACAACCATGAGCAGTCGAAAGTCCTGGAAAACATAAACAGATCTGAAGTTACGCATAGGACTGTCCATGCAAGTTGTATACGCAATGCACGACAAAACATGATCACATTGACACATTGGCACAACATGTTACGCATTGTTCACGCTTTTACATACACGTCGGCGGTGTTTGCACCGAGTTTACACGATATATGAGTGGTACGCACGACACGCGTGTCAGGGTGGCTTAAAGGACTTACGATGGATAGTTTTTTATGTAGAGATATTTACTCTCTCCTCTTGCAGGGTAGATGGTTCGTGTTTCATTACATTGATGACTTGACGGACTGTTATGTCCTGTTAATAAAACAAAGATATAAACTGAATTAACTGAGAGAATTGATTTTTTATAAATGTAGCTAGTAGTATAACTTTCAATTGAATATCTGTTGAGCTCCGTAATCAAATGAAAATGTATTCTAGACTTAAATCTGGTCTATTCCTTGTCAAATTTGAATACAGTTTTGTGTCCTTTACCTTGATATTCTATCACTGTCACTTCATAACTGACATTAGATTTCTCATCAAAATGAAAAGTAAATCCTATTTTATTGAATGATGTCCTCTTAGAAAAGTGATCAAGTATACACCATTCATAAAATGTGTTATTGGCTGAAAAGACAATGTAATTAAATGACTTAAATTCCAGTATTACTGAAATGAAAATATGACTTACTTACTTAACAAATCAAAACAGATTAGCTCCGTATGCACGCGATAAAAGCTGCAATAATGATTGGCTATTGAACAATATCGATATTCAGATGATCGAGACTTTGATCAGTTAATGATTAGTGCTATAGACGTGGTCTGTGGGTGAATTTCATAAGTATAACCCACATTTGTAATCTGGTAATCTTGTGTATTTTAGCAACAGCAAAAATTAAAATATGTTTTTTTTTTTTTTGCTAAAGATTAAAGCTAGAATATTCTGTTGGGCGACCTCTTTCCAAATGACTATTGACAATTCAAATTTGGTTTTCGAAATTCTGATGTGATTATCTTAGACAAGTATAATTTTACTTACAGTTATAAAACTCTACTTTACTTTTACAGGATCCATCGCTAACACTAACAACACCTCGTATATAGAGAAGAGAATCAGGTCGAGAAGCTGATACCTCATACTCATACACTGCATTTCTAGAAACAGTCCTATTTATTCAATACAAAAAAATAAATCATAATATTGGGACCTTTTCAATGACACCCCAGTCCCCTTAACCGATCTCTCTACCTAATGATCTACCTTAGATTTTGGAAAGATTATTTATTCAGTTCTAAATTCAACTTTTTTTAATATGGTTTTTACATTTAGATGAATCTGGCGTTGATCAGGTAACTTAGAGTTTTAACCGTTTTCAGATTTGGTCAGATGGTCAAAGAAATAGTCATATCTCTCAAAATAAAACAATCGGAGTTGAGTTTGAGAATTATGCCATTTTGTCGACAAAAACAACAAGAAGCAAAAAGCACATGGTAAAAACGACGAGAAAAGCTAAGTTAGGAGCCTGACTTTCAAAGGTAAAAAAAAGTGTGGGAAAGTGAAATGAAGAATTGATTGGAATGGTGGAGGACAGATTTGTGGAATATTAAATCCAAAGAAAAGTCCCCATTAGGCCATCTTACTGCGTGTAAACATTCAAGACCTGTCGTGTCTTCGACAAGTCATCAGAAAAAAACTTAACATAAAAACTTACAAAGCACAATTCATCGTTTACATTTTACGTGCAACTTGATAAAATAGTGATCAATTGTTCAATATTTTGAATATTTTTTTTTAACATTTTGAAATGTTACAGTGAGATTATTTCTCCCAAATATTAGATCCTGATGATTAAAATTTAACTGGGGATCTTACCTTGTAAACCTGTTTGGACTCTGGATAGTAATATAAGATTGATTTTTTGGAACCTCTAACTTCTTAACAAAACTTTCACATTGATCTATATCAAAAGACATAAATTTATAATGCAGCATAATCACTTCAATGATTTCATTTTAAAGATGTGTATTCTAGAATTCCATTTGGTATAGCAAAATATAAATATATTTTAATCAGAGTATTACCAGTTGCTGTCATTTCTAGTAAAAAAGTATCCTTTCGATTGAAAAAACTGTAGTAGAAAGGTTGTCGAATGAGTTTAATAAACATATTTTTTTTGGAACCGGTGACTTTTGTGCTGCGTTGATTGGCCGTTGTCAAAAATTTAGCATTACTGGAACTGCCTTAAATATAAATTATACATTTATATATCAATCAAATATTCCTCTTCTACCAATGTCATGATCATCCCTTATATTAAGTTAAAGACAGAATTACATTTTAAAGGGACACGTGTGCCAATTTGAGGGGTTGATTTGAGTCTAGAGTATATGTAAATAGTATTAAGAAGTATACTAGAAAAGTAAGGAAATCACATAATTCCTTTTAAAATACTTCAAACTAGGAATTTTACTCACTTTTTCTATACGTTTTTTTTCTATTTATCACAGAGTATCTTAAATTGACGAGTCGTCATTTAATACTCAAATGCATTCAAATGCGGATAATTCTCGACACACATGGATTTGAAGGCTCAAATTTCGAACGTGAGCTGTGAATACTCCATTTTCTTAGATTAAAGTATGATTGGTCAAAAAAATGGCCTACCTGTCCCTTTAAAGCTCTAGGACCTTAAGTTAAATAAATATGAATTATTGATATGGAATTACAAAGACTATTCCATTTTACCACTAAATTATATCTTTCACCATCCTGCATGTACAAATTAATTCCCATTCT